TTCTCGTGAGCTTTATGGGCAGTCTCATCCTCACCACGGACATCAAAGAGCCTATTCATGTAGGTTTCTCATTGATTCTCAGTTCTGCTTGCGAATCGTAAACATTTGTAAACATTATTAGTTTTCCTAAAAAATGATCGACCGTCATACAGAGGAGTACATGTGGACACGTTTGAGTCAAGATTCCCGGCCTGATCTGGTTAACATTGTTACCATGCTCCCCCCCTCTTACATGCGAATGATCCGAGATTCAAGCCTGGATGGACCGGTAGGTAGTATGCGCCGCTCTAGTGAGGGCGAATCTAGTTTCTCGTGATTCCCGTGTGTATGACTGACTAGATGTCGTAAATGGAAGCGAATTCGAACGAAATTGACGGAATGGGAACATTCTCTGAACTGAGTACCGATGTTTTTTTAGTACCTTCAGACACACTGTGTTGCTGTGATCACTGCTTGCTCCACCTCCCTCATCTTATTCTTTCCACATTCAGATTTCAGATGAGCTGACCTTTTGGACGAATTTCAGAGTTGGTTTTTTGCGAACGTTATGATTGTACGTATGTATTTTGCTCTTTTCCACCTCCCTACTTGTAAGTAGTGTGGTTATTTATGCACATTTTTTATCATTTGGCCAAACCAGTTGTTTTTTATTTCTACTGCAGTATCGGTACTGATCCGCTATATGTGTTGCATTTACTGCACTAATCTCCTCTTTATCTCTCAAGTTATTTGTGCATACTATTCATCTTCCTTATCTAGTGCACGCTATGTGGATCCTCCTCCAACATTTCTATCCACTCCGACCGATTTGAGCCCATTCCATCAGACCGTCTCAGGCAAGGCCATTTCTAGTCTGCTACGAAATGACGCCGTCCCTGGTGTCCGAATGACTGTGCAAATCGGTCGCCGAACCGGTCTAATAAAACTGATCAATGGACAACAAGTTGAACTCGTTTCTTGGTCCGGGCATGTCCGTGTTCATTGTATACTTGTGGCACCAACTGTCGGACTGCCAACCGGATCTCGGCGGGATATTCGTTCCATTGTGTTGGGTTCGGCAAGCTCCCCTGCCGTGTATGATTTACGTGATCCACATCAGTCAGAAACAAGTCTGGAGGTTCTTCTTCCTGTCTCTTTTCACACGTTAACGGTGAACGGTAAAAGTGGTGGGCGGGAATGGTCTTTGGTTGAACTGTTACTGAATGGTCTGGAAACATTGGAACGTCAGTTTACGCATGATCCCGTGAAGAATTGGAGTCTGATGATTCAAGTCGATGTGTGGCATCAGAGCACCGGGCCGGACATTTTACATTTTGACTGGGGTACGTTTGTGAGGTATTTTTTTCCGTGGCGTGGGTGTTTTTATTTCATCACATAATTTATCATGCTGCTCCAGGGAGGGGGACGGGGGTTTCCTCTCCTGTTTTTCAGATGGCAGTGTGAAGGTGTGTTACTTCCATCACTCTTGTAATTTCATAACAGATTTTACCCTCAGTCGATGCTATATCGATCCATTCGACATCTCTTACTTCACGTTACTGAATCAAAGTTTGATGATGCAATCAGCGAGAGAAGTCATTTACCAATTAATTTTCATGAAAACTAATCGTCCGTTTTGTTTTTTCGCCCCATGGCTCATGCATATTATTTAATCGCTTTGTATTTGATCATCGTGTCCCATTCGATAATTTCAAAATTACGAATACGCATACAATCCGAGTAGGGGGCTTAATGGTCATAAATCTGATGAGGTATCGACTGCTGTCAATGTGGATGATTCATGATCGTGAAATTTTAACAGAAGATGAGAAAATTAGCGACGTGTTACCTCGCGATGCTATCTGGATCGAACGGGTCTGAAAGGCCTCGACCAAGAAGCGACATATTGTCCATTCTCATCATCTAGTGGTTTCAGTTTTCAAGTGACCTGTTGAAGAAATCACCGATTACTGGACTGATCTCTTGTTTCGGGTTCCGAAAACAGTTATTTCTAAATGTCCGAATATACCATCATTACAAATTTTAAGAAAAACACAGTAGCGAACCAGCTCGTTTGCACTGGTTCATCTAGATCGCAATTTATGTCAAAAATTTTAGTAGGGGGAGGGGGACATGGCATTCCACCTTCATGACCAGATGTTGCTCACACTTTGGTCTAAATGACGTATTTCTCTTGTACATAGTCCAAAGAGCCAATCATGCACCGATTTCTTTGTTAAACTATGGTTTGTGTTGCCTAGTCTGGACTCAATTGGGTGGGCAACCCGCCAAATCGGAACCACAGTGCTGAGTAGAAAATTAAGCTGTGGTCCAGGTACACTCTCATCCCGCGAAACTGCGTCAAAACGAGCAAGACACGAGCACAGGCCCATTCATCCCCCTCCCTGGCTGGCCCCCGCGCGTACACATGAATCATTCGTGCATCCGATGGGGAAAGTCGACCGCTTCGTTTTGACCCTTACTGCTGGTGAACATCCCAGATGTCAATGATTTGAAAATGGATTCGTTCATCCAGACCAAATGCACTTTGTCTTGGGACCTCTTGCAATGACAGCTGATTTTCACAAGCAGCGAAAGGTCAAAACAGAAGGATCAGTTGTCCGCATCACATGTACACACGGTTCAGGCGTGTGTGTGTGTGTGTGGGGGGGTGACTGGGTTCTTGATCGTGCTTTGCCAATGGATGTGGTTCCGCCGGATAAAAGTACAAATGAACCACACCTGAATCTTCCACTCGGTGATGCTTCCGAGTTGGTGATTTACGTGTCATGTCCCGCGCCATGCATTAGTTGCTCAGTCAGGCANCCAAGCAGGTCAATGGTGTTGTTTGGATTAACTGTTCACACAGATTAATAGGTCGTAAAAAACAATACATGGAGTTGTGAGTTAGCTACTTTTCCGCCGTTTATGAAACGGCTAATCTATTACAATGATGAGGGTGGATTCGGACCTGAAAAATCGTACGAAATTCATAGATCGGCAATTGGTTGATAGAGTAAATGAGCAGTCTTTCAAAAATGTGACGTCATCTTAAATCAAAATTGCCGTATAATTCGAAATTGGCCGCAACGAGACGAGCAACTGATATGTTACAAACACCGCGAAGTGACTTCCGGAAGAAAGAATTGAGGCCGAGTGTTCTTCGTCTGACGGTTTCAATCATGACCATTTCTGAGTTTGTGTAAAACAACGGGCTCAGCCGGGATTCGAACCCGGGACCACTCGCACCCGAAGCGAGTATCATACCCCTAGACCACTGAGCCACAACGCAGTGTCACTACACAATATAACTAATGTTTACTAAAGAACAAGTTGGAAATATCTTTATATTCTGCTTCTAGTTGAACAATCCCATTGGTTTCCGTATCCGGTACCTACACTAACATGTGCTGATATTTGCCCTGCGTCGCAAAGTAATCTTCGAAGTTGATTGCCACGTTAACCCGTATGTTTCCTCGCTCTCGCTTTTTCTGCCCCATTGTTTAAGGAGATTTAAACGGAACCGATTTGCCGAAAGTGCTTCATCCCGGGCCGGGCTATCATCTGCTTGGCAGTACCCGATTTGCTGCGGCCGATTTGATCTTTTCCCCTCGAGGTCAACTACCCAGTCGATGGTATCCGTTGTGCAAATTTATTCATGGACAGTCTGCCGCCCTCGGAGAGACAGAACCGCGTGTGGCAGGTCAATTTGTTGGCGGCATTGAGGCCAGTGTGCATTTCACAGATGCGATTGAAGCTAAACGGCACTTGTTGCGCTATGTGGCGCGCACTTTCGCACGAGATTCGAAGACCGCGCATTGTCTCCGGCGCTGGCTGGTTCCCATGCCTGTGTTTGCTGTTGGTCAGCCAGAAGAATTGCCCACAATGGAAGTTGATGAAGAACCTTATTTGTGGCACAATGGGACTGGTACGTTTTTAACTTTTCGTTCTCTCGTTTTGCCCAGGTAGGCATCCAACATCTTCAATTTTTCCAATTTGTGAAAATTTCACTAGCCTCGGAGAGATGTGAATCCGCTCGCCGACCACGACATCTGAAAGTCATATGTGCCTCTAACCACCGTTTTATTTGACCACATTTGAATTTTTCATCTCTGGTCATTCACCGAACAACGGGTTTATGTGGGTAACCGTTTTATCCAAAAATAAGGCATAATACCCAAATCCGGCAATAGTTTTTTTCGAGTAATATCGATTTCACATACCCATCGTGGTCAGAAGTGTATATTCTCTCGGACGCAGGTACGGAAAACCACAACTATCATAATTTTCAAGGGTCCAGGGCCAGCTCGAGCAGAGTTTCTTATTCAGTTCCGATTAACCACAACCCTCTTTCCGAATTTTGGTAGTTCATGTGCTTATTATGATAAACGGTAACACAAATATTATTATTATTATTATTATTATTATTATTATTATTATTATTATAGAAATGCTCTGTCAGTAGGTATAAGCTTACGGAAATACAAATGACCATTTTCTTCAATGTTGGTTAAGTCACTTCAAATGCCTTGGTGGTTTTCAATTCTATAGACGAGCATGGGTTCACCTAC